ACATGGCAAGCAAAGAAAAAATTCAAGCCATTATACTTCATAAGAGTGCAAAGTAAGTTTAGCTTCAGTAAAAAAAAAGAACCTTCTCAGTGCAGCAAAGATGTTATTTCAGGTAACATTTTGCATAATTAAGAAAACCTTCAGGTGACATGGAAGACATTGCCTGTGATAGCCTGTGTTACAGCCTTTGTATTTTCTTGCACATTATGTTTTTGTTTCGTCACTCTGTAGGCAACTTCGGGCAAACTGCCAGACACAACATCTCGGGAGGCAAGGTTGAGACCACAAGATTTTAATAGAGTTTACAGGCAGTGCTGCAATTAGGTACATCCAAATTTAAGAAGAAAACAATCCAACCACAGACTCTAGATTAATTTCAGTCTGAAGTAACACACTTTATTCCCCATTCTCAACATACAAAGTTAGTTCTGTTTATTCCCACAGGCTGTATCACTGGGCAAAAGAGATCAAGGGCCTCTCATTATTTTTTGTGAAACTCAAACTTTAAGAGAGATGACTATTCTACTCAATACCAATCTCTTTAATCACAGTGAGTTGGGTTCAATAGTACAATACTTACTGCTGATGTTTTGGAACAATTTGAAGCTTTTGCTTTTGAAGACAATGATAATCACAGGGAAACTGGAGCCACTTTTATGAGCAAATTTCACTCTCCTGTACCACACAGTGCCATAGTTAAGAACCTGTGAGTAATGAAATTATAATCACTATTAAAAATTGTTGTAACTAAAGCATTTGGTAATTGTTATCTAAGCAGAAAATAGCCAGAGAAAGTCTCTGCATAGCATGTGGTATACCCCATACACTCAGCTTCTCTTCTGGAAAAAACCACATAGATTTTCACAGAATAAACAACAGAGTTTCACAGAAGCTTATTATTATAATAAATGGAATCAAGGTCCAGCAAACAAGTCACTGAAGACAGAGCAGTGTCAATCCTATTCCTTGTCCCTGCTCTTCTGTCTGGGGAGTGGTTCTTTACCTCCTTCTCCCTGCACATTTACGTGTTGATCTGGATCTTTGGAAATTACACCGATACAAGTTCTGGCAGTTAAAGGTACTAATCTGCAAAGCCACCTGCTTGTCTTCCAGCCCTCCCATGAAACACAGAGCATTCGTGCTCATTTCTTCAATGATGTTTCTACTTGAGACAAGCAACGTCTCTTTTACACCTCCAAACGTTTCTCACTCACTGAAAGTTGGTCACTTGTATCCGAATAAGACAGCTTGTGATTAAAACTATTAAACACATCACATCTCCCAGCATTTTTGTCAAAATATGAGGACCTCCTCTACTGTTTTCTTCTTATGTAATTCCTCTTTTAGTTGAAAAATTTCTCCTTTCTTCTGTTAGTCTCCTAAAGTCTAGGACTAGACTCGACCAACACACACTAGCGAGTTTACCCATACCTTTCTCAACCCAATAATGATGATTTACCTAAGTTACATTATTGTAAATGGAACCTGCATGCACAAATTTGTGATCAGCTACGTCAATATGCCCTCTAACACTCTTGTGATAGTGTTCTACATGGGAAAATTGCATATAGAAGTTTCTAGACTGGCACTGACTTTTCTGCATACAGTAAAATATTGATGAATGGCTGAAGAAAACAATCTTTAAGGCTTATTACAGCACTTATTTGAATGCAACTACACAAAGAGTCACTCACAGAAATTATCTAGCTGCTCTTCATAGACAATTGCACACATTATCTAAAAGCAACTGTGATACAAATAGAATCCCATTTCCAAATTGATGCAGAAGATATGGCCCACTGATCCAAGTGCCATATCTCAATTATCTTGAAGGACAACTTAGCAAGTGAACTTCATTAAGTCTAGGTTTTATCAATCAGAACCTTGGCTGGCCACTGCCGTTTTCTATATGTGAAGTTTTTTCGCAAATATTCATGACGTGGAAAAGCCCAAGATGAGAGAAAAATATTTCTGATGTTATAAAATACCAGCATAATTTTTTGTATTACCAAATGTCTCGATGGAAACACTGCAGTGAAGCACTGCGCAAAGAGTTTGCTGGATCATGAGTAATGAGAAATTAACCTCAAGCAATAGAAGAGATGGCTGCTTGCATAAATAAACAGTTCAGGCTTACTTAGCTCCTCTCTTATCTCCATCCCCCTTTGTACTTAACAGAAGTTTATTACTCCCTGATACTCAGCTCTGCTGGGTCCTTGAACAGTTCAGTTACACCCTAGTTTCTCTGACAATAAATATAACTTTCCAGTTCTCAGTAGCTTAATGGGGTCACTAATTGGTCTCTGTTTCTTTTCGCGTCTCCCAGGTTAAAAACAAGCAAGTCACCATTTCTGCTCCCATTTACTCTTTCCAGAAAGATTTTACAACTTCAGAAAATGTGGATGCTTGGTCAAAACAAGCACCCACAAGTTCTGATCTTTCATAACAATGACTGAACTCCTCCAACTGCACTAAAAATGAGTCAGAGGTGGTCAAAGATTAAGATTTAGCTCTCTCCAGTCCATACTCTAGAGAGGCTCTTGCCTTCTTTAGTGCTAGACAGAATTAAGAAAATATAGTACTTTGCAAGTTAAGATACAAAAAGTGAGATCAGGTTCCATTGATATTATGGTCAAAAACAGGGTCAAAGGGAGCCACAGTGCAAACTCCTAATGCTTGTGTTTTATCAGACTGACTCAGTCATGCTTGGTCTTCAAACCAAGGCCTCAATGTTTGAGCTCTTTCACAGTGAAAAACAATCTGAGAAACTTCTTTCATGTCACTTGTTCCCAGATACTCATATTTTATACATTTGTGCCCAGTTTTCTTGAAAAACAAGTGATCTGGAATTCAGTTAGTTACTCAAAGCTCCTTCTTTTCTTTCATCTGATGAAATACTTCAGGTCACCAGGGTAATCGTACCATGCAGTGAGACGTAAGGAGTCAAAGACCTGTGAACATCACCTAGGAAAGGAGATTTCCCCACTCTCCCACCTCTAAAACTGCCGGTTCTCAATCTGTAGGTCATGGATGACAGAAGGGGAAGGGCTTTGATGAAGAATTACTGGTAGTAAGTTTCTTCTGTTGCTTTATTCCCTTCTTGTTCTACGTTGCAGAATAGTGGTTGATGGGAATTAGCTCTCTAGACACAGATGGGTTTGGGCAGCTTAAATATCTTTGTGAGCTTCAGTGCTTGCATTACCCATGGCTATCAGACAACCTGCCGTGAAAGGATGAACTAAACACCAAGTGTTAGCATAAAAGATTTCCAGTATGTCAGGTTTTTTCCCTTTAATACAGGAGGTTACTGTCACAGATGATGCACAGACCAACCCCTTTGTTTACCAGTCAAGTTAACAGATGCCTCTAGTTGATGACTGCTCGCTTTCTAGTACCCAGAACTATGATAACATGGTTATTTTGAACTTCTCTGCACACAAAGATGAGGGAATAAAGATATAAAAATTTTGTTTCACTGTGGTGTTTTCAGTTTGAATTTTTGAAGGTCAGTGTTTCGCTCATAATTTGATTTGATTCACTCTTTCTTTTGCTGAATGGCCTAAAAAAATAAAGCTTTTGATAGAGAAACAGTTTCAATGCTTCATGTGCCCACAGATATCAGAAGAACTTGTTACCTGTTAGGACAGCAAACTCTAAGGACAGAAGGAATCCCTCTGTTCTTTTCATCTGCTAAGGGATAAACTGTTTAACTTCTCATTCCTATGGATCATTTTGAATGCTCAGACATGTGAGCAATTATAAGAGGGAGTGGAAGTGCTGCAAATTGTTTATAAAGTAAGGAAAGTAATTTTTAAAAAGTCAAAAAGGTTGAACATTAGGGATAACAGAACACAGGGATACAAGAAAGCGAGCGGAATTCTCCAGCGTAGCTTTTGGAACGCTGCTGACAGTTGTTTGGAACAGCAGATATCACTTATTATTTTTTTGTGAGGATAACTAACATGAAGACTTCTTACAAATGCCACTCAAGTGCGGAGCTGGTGCTTTATGAGCTCAAAATAGTTTGCTGCACAGAGCAACAAAAGGCAGCAGTTGGACTTCACTGGAGTTGTCACACAGAGCACAGCTCTATCAGGCACACAAGGAAAGCTCTGAGGGGGTTAAAAGTCAATTGCAAGACCTGGGACCGGTGCCAATAAAATTGTACCTGGCCAGGCTTAAATTGAATTTTAGCTGCCAACTGTACATTTTCAGATCTCCAGAGGAAGCTGGTTCCTTCGTGTGGGTGAAGTAGGCAGAGGCAGCTGTTGAAATGGAAACCATTGCATTCAGACAACTTGGGAACTGATTGAATTGAAAATTGGACTTTCTTATGCCTTGATTTTTGCCTCCGAATGCATTGAGGAGATGCAGGTGGCTGATAAACAGAAATTTATCACTCAGCCAAGAGGTTAAAAAAACCCTCCAAATAAACAAGAATTTTGTCTTTTGGGAGGGGAAAAAAAAACCCTCAACAAATTCAACAATAAGGTAGAGAATCAGACTCTTATTTGGTATATAAATCAAAGGAGTTATTCTGGTTTACAACATTAGCAGACTTATGCCTAGATTACTTAATTAAGACAGTGCAAAAATAATGGAATAATGCATTAAATGTAAATATAATTGCATAAAAATCTTACCCCAATATTATTGCAAACCTAGGAATAGATCTGGACTTGCAAAAACATGAACATAAATGTTAAATATACATGCTCGTGTGCGTTTACTCCCTAATATGAAGAACAAATCCTAATTTTTCTAACCTGGACGTAAGCACAATAGAAGGCATGCTAATATTTTCAAATCCAACAGTGCACAGTAAGAATTCTTGGAATTAAAATTGTCACCTGTATGATGAAGAAAGCGGTGGGTCACGTCCTGCATTTTTCTGCCTACAGGATTTCAGGTAATTCTGACGTGGGGTCCTCAGGTGGTGCGATTTCTTTCAGCTTCAGAGGGAACTGCATTCCATTTACACCAGTGAAGAATCTAGTTTAGCATGTTAATCCAACTGAGTCCAAGTTATAAATGCCCTGCTGCTCTACCACATGGGCACCCACCTTGTCACCACTGATGGCCTTGGTGCCTGCTTCTACATCCTACACAGGAAAGAGAAAGTCTATATTTTATGTGACAATTTTTCATTTAAAAAAAATAGAGAGAGACAGAAAAAAATAAGGAAAATATTCAATGCCCTCCACAATAGGCAAAACTTGTAGTGTAACAGAGTTTACTGTGACTTTTCCTTACATATTAGTCATTCCTGGTCATTACTGAGTCAAGAGTTGCTCAACCTCTATCTTACTGAAAGCAGGATGTTAGAGTGAGCTTACACTCATCTGGTGTCATAATCAATAGTAACTACAAAAGTGTTCATAACATCATAGAAAAATATGCATAGAAAATACACTGTTTGTATTTCACTAATCTCAAGTTCACAGGCACCATTTTTAAGTTCACTGATAAAAGCATATTTTCTAACAACCATCTTCATCTCAGTTGAATTTATGGTGAAATGTTGTAAACCAAACTGGCAATCCAAGGTCTTTAATGATTTTTCCCTTGGTAACTTAACAAAATATTTTCTGATATAAACCAGAAGCTGAAATCCACCTCAATTTTTTTTTCCCCTTGAAACACCTTCTTTAGTGAAACATGAAGTGAGGAAAGACAGAGGTTAAAATCTAACCTTTCTTTACAAAACCAATAATACAGTAGTTGTATAGCTTTAGTGAAGCAGGATTATACAAAAAAAAATCTCATTTCCTGGTCATATACAAGTTGAAGATAGGAAAATAAAGCAAGAGCTCTTTGCCACCACGACAGTGTTTTGCAAAGTATCACGGGCTGCCTTTCTCTAAATTATCGATGAAGAAGGACTCATGGAAAGATATTGGCCTTAGTACTCCTTGCTGTGTTATCACATTACAATATCAACAGTTTCACAGACATAAGCCAAAAGGCTGGGGAGGGTGGGGGGCAGGGGAGAAGAAAGGAATGGAATAAAAGCCATACTTGCCTTTAATAACTACACACTTTTACAGCTCAGATCTATAAATTCAAACCTTGCCGGAGCAGATGTTTGTGGCAGATGAGGAATGGAAAGATGAGATCCCAAAGCACTCCCTGCTTACTCAGAACTTGCTTAGCAGGCTCTGGATTGTGTTCCAGCAGGGGATCACTCCCCCAGTGCCCAAAGTAAGGATGACACATAGAGCTGGAGGGTGTTGCCAGCTGTGTTTCCTTCAGAAGAGGTTGTTCACCAGTACAGGAGAGAGACAGCTCCTCAGTTCTAAGTGGGATTGGCCCCAATTCATTCAGACCTCTCAGTGTCCAAAACACACCAGAGTTCTCTCCTGGGCAGTGCATTTAGCCTGGAGATACACACTCAACAGTTGTGTATTTTACAGTCTATACTTCTTCATCCATTAATGGTACTACTGTCATCTTAGTAAGCGTGAGATTTTGACTTTTTTTGTTGTGAAGGAAGTAAATAGGTGCATGTTGTGAGTCTTTCCCCGCCCTGAATGCTTTGTCATAGAATAGTCATGTAATTTCAAAATGTATTTATGGAGAGAAACCATAAACAGTTCCTGACTTGATAAAGAAAACACTAATGAGATTTAAAACCATAAAAATCACCCTTTTATAAGAACAATGCTCCTGTCTCTTGTGTTAAATGCATCTCATGCCTCTGTATTAATTGACGGGCAAAAATTTTCTGTTAAGTCTTATTTTAGGTAATTACCTCACTGCTTTAAGGATGAAGTAAGCATTACCAGGTTAGTTCAATTCATATTGTACCTGTCAGCCCAGGTAGGTAACTTCAGCCTAAGCTAGATGAAAAAATAATGGCACCAGTGAAAAAATTAAATTAGAATAATAAGTGACCTTGTATAACTTTAAAGACCGTTTGACTTTCAGATAAAATCAAAAACTTCTATAGAGTGAGCACTGATTTTTATATGAAGCTTATTTTTAGCCTCAGTAGAACAGTGATGTACTGTTCTCTGAGGAATAAGAAACAAGCATCACGGTTAACTTAATAGGGAATTTGAATTTATTTCCTATTTAAACTTCAAGAAATTTTCACAAAGAGTAGAATGTTTTGGACTATTTTTAAAGAACAAACAGAATTCTCCCTGTTCATACTCGGTCTACAAACTAAAAAGCACACTCTGACAGCTGAATTAAATCCTCTTTGAGGTGACAAAATGGAACCCCAAGTACAGTACTTCCCTGGTATAATATCATTGAACAGTTCTAAGCCCTTTGTTCTTTCTAAGCCTACTTTGAAAAAGGAAAAGAGCAAAAATGTGCATGTGATATAATGGTTTTTTTTTTTTCTTTGGTTGTAGTATTTCTTTCTTCCTTTCTCCGTGATTTATGTGAGTGCATAGGAAAATTTGCAATGGTCAGAGACCAGAGAGCTCCCCTATTGTAAATCTCTTATTTCTTTTTTCTTTTTTTTTGTCCTTTTTTTTTTTCTTTTGTCTTTCCTAACACACACATCCTTTTTCCCTCTCCAGATGTCTTTCAAGCTCCTATTTAAACCACTGGTGGTTTTTTTTTTCCCCCCAGCGCCTTCATGACGCTTTAAATGTTTCAGCCTCTGTAGATGCAAAGTAACAAGTTAAGAATGCAAGGTGACCTGTATCATAGTCAAAAGAAAAGTAATAGAAACTCATTGCTCTGAAACTAGAGATATATAATTTCCAAACCTCGACAATATAGGTAGGTAACATTTCAAAGGGAAATATTTAATGTGTCTCCTCAAGACAACCTAATACACAGTTATGCCATTATCTAATTTGGTACATATTTAATTTGCAGTTTACAGCAGTATATAAGCTTCTCTCTCATTATAACAAAGTGGGCATTTAATCAGCAAATCTACAAAGGGCATACATATAGCAGATTAACCTCACCTCTTTCAAGGCAAATTTAATTAAATTTTGGTCCTACAGAAGTCGACAGAAATCTTCATACTTCGCAGAACGGGTCTAACTGTGATAATTTATAAGGGATCATCATATTGCTGTATTCCTAAATGTTCTAGTTTCATTATCTCACACAACAGTTTGAAGTTATTTTGCATTTTAAAGTGGTGATTTTCTACCTGGTAGTTTCACTGCTATGAGTTTTATGTGCCACACCACATGGTAAGAAAAAGTGTTTTGGAAGGCTTTGTTTAAGCTATGTTTTTGTCAGAGGTTCATCATTTAAGATATAGTGTTGTAAATGAAAATAATTGCATCGGTTTTTTACAGCTATAAGTTGCTAGAGAACAATTTTTACTTTACAGTGATGTGTTTTCATTGGCATTTTAATAAAAGGTGATTATCTAAAGATGGAATTCTAAAAAGGATTTGCCAACCATATTTTGTGCTCTTCACTCAATAATTTATGGTAACACGTAATTTCTTAAAGAACAAGCAATACGCACAACTTATTTAACTTGCATTGGATCTGAACTGGAGAATACTAAAAACAGTGATTGATTTACCATACTGGTAATCATAAAGCAAATAATACATTGAATGAGATTTTACCCCTAAAAGTAAGGTTTAAGGGTGAATTTATTTGGTATGTTAACAAATATCCATTTATGCATTTATCCAAATTAAGAGACATAGCGATAAACTGACATGCTAGGTTTCACAAAAGAATCTGTTATGGAATTAAATCAAGCTAATGTAGTTTTGGGCCAAAACTCTAATTCAAAACAAAAAAAAAACCTGCAAACCATAAATCTAGTTTTACTCTTGGGTGATCAAGCAGAAGCAGTTATTTTAATAAAATCCATCACTCTTGGATTGCACTTAAAAATTTTATTTGATGTTTTTTTCTTGCTGTGGATGGCATCTCATACTAATTGAAATTCTGGCTTTGTAGACAACAGACATTGCAAAACCCACAAGAACAAAATGTCCCTTTGGGTCATGAGCAATTTATGGTCAAGCGGCACAAAATGTTGAGTTTCTGAGGGAGAATTAGTTTGTAGCCCACCAGTAACTGTTTCAAACCAGATGCCTCTACTGCAATATATCACACTGAGAGTATCTACAGGAGCTACTACTATCTCTGAATTCCAAAATTTACTGCAGTTCTGTGGTAGATGGTTATGTATAAATTATTCGCTGTTACATGACCCTTTTTCAGCATCATGGATAGTGGGAGGTCCTGACTTTCCCGAGCGTCTTCCAGATCAGTTTTCTTTTCATTCCAGTCCAAACCATGGTAAAATTTAATATATATAATAACTGATAACTAATATCTGTGCTGAAGAGAGTCCAAGGAAAAGCAACAAGACTGATGGAATTTTAGAAGGCAGAATCTGAATTTAATTTGGAAAATGAAAGGTAGTATGATTAGCCTCTTTGAAAAGGAAACAAATGTGCACAGAGGGAAGCAAGGCACTGTTCACCATTTCCATCAGGTGCAGGGCAAGAAGGATCAGTTTAATTTGCCATGAGTGTGATTTAGATCAAATATTAGCAGAAATGCTCTAAGTGTAAGACAAGTTAAAGTACTTGGCAGAGACATCAGAATGATAGTTATTCCAGGGTTTTAAGAAAGTGTTGGGCAGCAACGTGTATGGACTGGCTAAGTATGTTTTATTTTACCTAACAGTAGGGGTCTCATGTCCCTTTAGTTCTAAATTGTTAATCTTATACTCTGCTTTTTGGTAGCCTAAACTTAGGTGTTTAAAAATGCCCTGATTTTTAACACATATTGATCACATAGCCTATTCTAATCAAAAATTAGACAATTATTCCAGTCACCTATCTGAAATGGAATCACTCAGACTCATCTATCGCTGTCTTGACTTTATAATGAAGGAAAACAAATTCAGATAGCAACTAAAAAAAAAGGAAAATAGATGCTGATACATCCAGATTAACCTTGTAAAAACCAAGGAGACCACAAAGCCAGGGCGTGGCCACATTTACATTGTGAAATCTAGATATTTACTGAAACTCAGCCATACGTATGGAGATTGCATTTGTCATCTCAAATTTCTAATGTTTTCCTTTATTTACTGAATAAAGTATATTAAATGTAAACTAAAAAAAATAATATTAAACCTAAAATATACTGTTTCCCTGCAGCATTAATCATCTTCTAGCAATTTGTATTATTTATAATGTCATGCATACAAAACCTATTTTGAGCTATGTAGAGATTCAACTTTTAAGAGCGAAAAACAACAACTAGCAACTCTAATAGAGTCCCAGCGAGGTAACACTAAGTTGCTTATAATGAGTGACTTACATAATAATTGACTAGTTTTCTTTAGCAGTATCAAATGCAAAGAGATAGCACTTTCCCTAAGCGTTCCTCAAGAAGTTAATGATCCGAAAAAGAACCATGTAAACCAGGTAATCACTTGCTAATTGATCTGCTACCAGTACTGCATGAAACACCGAGCAATTCATCTGCTGCAGAACCTTGAGAATACATTTGTGCTGTACCTTGGGATAAGCAGCGAAGATGAGCACCCAAATATTTATTACAGAAACAGAAAGTGTTGACAGCTCATTAGTGAGATAAATACACATATTCTCTGAACCTAGAGATACATTTTAAAGACCTGTGAATATGACGAAGACCCCACCAGACAATCCACCTCAGTGCCCACTGTGGAGGGTTTTTTCTTGCAAAGAGAAAAAAAAATATAGCAAGAACTATAACTTCCTTCAACTGAAAAAACCTCTGATGAGATCAGGTAGGAATGTGCTCTGAGGATGCAAATCACAACATTCAGAAGGTTTGTTAAGTAGCTGTTATTCGGTTTGGTTTTTTTTTCCCCCCTCTCTTTTCTGTTTTGTTGCAGTTGTTAAAGGTCATTATAATCCATTTTGCACTCTGGCACACATAAGCTGTCCTTTTTATTTCTCAAGGCTCAGACCATGTCCATTTCTATAAAACAGTAGAAGAGCCTAAAGAATATAATTAGGAAATAGCCTGCAAATGCTCATGCTGTATATTTGCACATCAGTCTCTGACATGCTTTTAAAACACATTGCTTCTTCATAAGTTCTGAGCATGAGGTAGTAAAGAGGGAAGAACAGGAGGAAAGAAATACTCAGTGGTTTGAGTGAACATCCAATGGTTTGGCTTTTTTTTCTGTGCTTGGCAAACAAGAATCTCAGAAGGGTTTTATGAATTTTAGTCTCTGTGTTCTACCTTTCCCAAGTGACTGTGCAGAAGAAGTTTTGCTCAGAGAGTGATATCTGAACAAACAAAATGTATGTGGCATGAGAATGCTCTGGAATCTGAAAGAGGTTGATAAAACTGCAGAGGCAAAGACCCCATATGACTCAACCAACTCAGCCATTCTACATTCTTTAAACATACCAGACTAGAGCACATTAATCAAGCAGTGAAGAGGTGAAGATGACACCCTGAATAAATTTCTAGCCAGAATTGATGACTGTAGAGGAATTTGGGTTTATGGTCCACATTAGCAATAGTAAATGATTTCAGTATTCAGGGACATATGATAGAATTTAGTGCTCTATCATTAACTTCACTTTCAATTAAATAAATTCTATCCACCTTTACAGTTTGAGCTGGAATACAGAATAAGGCTGCCAGATGCTGGATCTGATTTAAAGCAAATAAAATGGAGAAGCAGCATTCACAGGGAAAATATTACTTGTACTTTTCATATCAGTTTTCAGATGGAACTGATCAGAGAGAAGGTAAATGACACAAAAATTATTGTGATCACCCCCCTACCCCCCCAAAAAAACCAAAACAAAACCAGGAGGAGAAACAAACTGTCTTGAGTTGTACCAGTGTAAATGGTGTGTGAAAAAAGAATCTAATTGTCATTACGTGGCTGATAACAGTGTTACCTGATCTTGACACACACATATCACAGCTAAAATCAGCATTATAAGAAAGACATGGAAAAAACCCCAAACCAATAAAAAGGCAAAAGGCCAAGTAACACAGTTATTTTTTATTTTGCTCTTGTGAAGTCCAAGGATAAGAAAGAAATATTCAGAATGGAGAATATTAATGAAAAACCTAGTCTTTTAGTTATAAGATTAGGACAAATTCATAGGGCCATTGAAGCCCCTAGCCATTTTCTAAGTATACAGTAGGGAGGAAATCCATTTGATCTGAGGAAATCCTTTATAGTTTGCCCTTGCTTTTGGAAGCAGAAGTCACCAGACTCTTGGGGAGCCTTCTGTTCAAAACATGCAGCATATCTGTAGTCCCAATTACACAGGGAACTGGGAAAGCTATCAGAACAAGAGCCTAAAAATTATTTCAGTGAGACATAAATGCATATTTAACTGCATTTCTATTAAAGAGGAATTTCAGAGATTGAGGTTAGATTTTTAGCTCTCCATTAATGGAAACTTCTCCTTCCCTCTCATAATTACTTCTGTACTAAAGTTTCACTTTTACTCCTTCCTTTAATGGCACTGTTGAATGAATTACACTCCTGCCATCCACAGCTGCCTCTGCCCCCAGCTGCAGGCTGTTTTCCAATTCTGTTTTTCTCCCCTATTTTATATTCCTTTGGTCTTTTTTTTCCATTATGTTGAGCAATGGGTAGGCCAGAAAGACGCATGTGGTACGATGCAGGCTAATACCCTGTGTTTGATAGAACTTTATTAATACTTTTATGTCATTATATGATCTTTTTTTTCTCCTTTTCATGGACTTCTACATAAAGCTCCCAAAATTGCCTTCTGTGGCTAAAGCTTAGCTGACTTTGGACATAAGAGTAAAATGTATGCAGACATTGGCAATACACATTCTGCTGGCATGTGTAGGTACATGGATATATTTCAATCTGAAATTTAGAGAAAATGAGATTAACAGTGTCTAATCTTGGATAATTGATACAATTAACTGTTATTTAGAATGTACTGTACATATACTATAGAACACTGAGCTAATATTTTTTCTTATGATACCTTTCATAACCTTTAATCAATCCAATTTCCAGTTCTTCTTTTAATTTCCTTGATACCATTAAGTGGGAAATGGTTAATTGGATCCGTCTCTCTGTTGAAGGAAAACATTTTCATGTTCTTTATCTTGCCAGAAGAACAAATCAACACCTGAGTCTTTTTAAAACTCTACCAATGAAAAATGTAAGAAACAGAAAAACCATAAGAAAGCAAGTTGAAGGCAAATCAGAACCTTTTCTTTTTTTTACTCTATTAATACTCATTGAAGGGAGATCTTCCACTAGAGATTGAGACATATAGAACACAGGATGACACAAAGAAGTAGTAAAGAAATTATTTAGCTTCTAAGTGTTCAAAAGAACTGAAGAAATCTAGATGAAAGTAATACTGCATTAATGTAAGCACAGGGAATCAAAAACAAATTAATATATTAATTGTATTTTCTTTCTCTTAGTATCAGTGAAGTTACTAAAGATATGAGAAGACTGCATATATGGAAAACCTACGTATTTTTGGTTTACAAGTATCAATAATACATAATCATCAATGCTCATGAAAATGAAAGGAAAGAAGGAAATAATTTCATGCGAAGAAACCACTTTTCTTTCCAGAAACTTTCTCAGACTGGTCTTATAATGTAATAGGTGGTTAATATCCCTACCTGAACAGGTCTTTCTGTGGTCAGGGACTCCAGAGTACCTGCCTTCACCTGAAATCACACGACTTCCACAATGACTTTAAGGCAAGTATATTTGGGTTTCCCATCTCTTATTTCTGTAAGAAATTTAAGCTCTGTTATGTACAGGAAATGCAATCAAGCCATGGCTAACAAGAACAGCAAATGTCCAAGTACGATGTTCATATAATCAGAGGCAATTACCACATCTTCAAAAATGAACGATTCATCGAAATAAAACACTAATATTAAAAAGGGTCAACATTTCTTAAATGCATAGTTCAAATTGTTATAATTATTATGCAAGGCACGAATGAAAATTAATTTTCTGACAGGAGCACTAGAGAAAGCAGAGAGCCCAGCAGTTGTTCACTTGCCATAACACACCAGAGATCAAGTCTGGTTTCTCTGGAAGCAACAGGTTTAGGTTGCCTCCAAATCGAGCAAAATGGACCAGAGAGTCTGTTTCAATCTGGCAATTTTCTATGATCCTTTGTTCAGAGCGGACCAGATGTTTGTTGTTTTGTTAAGAATTCACGCTGTAATTGTTTAAAAAAAACCCTAGCATACCAAGGCCACACGTGTGGCACAGGTGCATCTTAACTGCTCTGCTGTGGGTTTCTATAATTAATCACTAGGATTGTGGATGTTCAACCAGGATTTTTGCTTTTTTTTGTTTGGGGGAGTTGCTTTTTGTGTTGATTTGTTAGTTTTTTATTTGTTTGTTTGGGGTTTTGGGGGGGGTTGTTAATTTGTTTGTTTTGTTTTGTTTTTTCTTTAAAGGCTACTGTGCCCACCGTATTCAAAAGAAGAGAGAGAGGGGAGAAATGATTGAGAACTGCAACTACCAAGCATCAGACCAACACTTCTCTGTGTTTGTGCTGGGTTTGGCTGGAGTAATTTTCTTCACAGAAGCTTGTATGGGGCTGTATTTTGGGTTTGTATTGAAAACATTACGGATAACATAGAGATTTCTTTTTTTATTACTGAGCAGGGCTTACTCAGAGCCAAGGCCTTTACTGCTTCTCACCCCACCCCACCCCACCCCACCAATGAGTGGGGGCACAAGGACTTGGGAGAGGACACAGCCAGGAGAGGTGACCCTGAGTGGCCCTTGGGATATTCCAGACCACAGGGCATCACGCTCAGGATATAAAGAGGTGGAAAGAAGGAGGAAACGGGAGTGTTTGGAGTGATGAAGTTTGTCTTCCCAAGTCACCATCACGTGTGATAGGGCCCTGCTCTCCTGGAGGTGGCTGAACATTTGCCTGCCATGGAAATCAGTTTCCTTATTTTGTTTGTGTGGCTTTGGCTTTCCCCATTAAACTGTCTTTGTGTCAATCTATGATCTTTTTAACTTTTATCCTTCCAATTCTCTCCCCCGTCCCACGGGTGAGGTAGTGTTGTCACACACAAGGTCTATGAAAGTATCCTGCTGGTTCCAGTGGGAGTCTTACCTTTCCCAAAGAAAAAAATCTAGAAGTAAAGCCTTAACCTGTACAATAGGATAGTGTAGGCATTAATAAACATTATTCATTAAATATCAGAAGAGAGGAGATCTACTTGTCTGTAAGAATAAGAAAGATGAAAATTCCTGGGGGAGGGCAGGCACTCAGAAAAGGAAGAAAAATACTAAACTAATATCAATCACTTCTCCATCAGAACCCTCACAATTCTCCAATAGAAGGGAAAACTTTTAACTCTCCCATGTTTGGTCCTATTTTGCTTTTTTTTACCTGTACCGTTGTTCACTTCTACATTCAGTGCAGAAGGTATAATTTGAGTTGATGTACGAAAAGATATTTAGGATTAGATGTTCCTCTTGATGCCCTGAGCTCAATTTTCATCTGACAGGCTGACCTCAAGAAGCAGATTTGTATCATTTTATTGTCTTTTTGTCTGATGGACTGAAAAGAAAAAAAATATAAATTGTACACAACATGCAGAAGAAATATCTAAACTAATATTTTCCTAGTGCATTACAAACTTTCTTTTTCCAGGTTTTATTTTTTAAGAACTTATTTTCACAAAAGAAAGAAAAAAGCTTGCATATATAACCTAATTTTGTGGTTCTCTTGGCTTCTGGATATTTTCCTTTGCTACTCCAGTGTATTCTTAATTTACATCTAATATTCCAAAAAGATGAAAATGTTTACTGTAATTTCTACTAATTGTTTAAACACACATTTGATGCTTTTGAATCTATTGAACTTACTTGTTTTATTCCTGAGAGTGATGAATGTATAAGTGAACGACAAAGCAAGTTTCCTGGCAACAAATATATTGAAGTGTGTATAAACAACTGTTTTTCTGATTTAACAATTATTTTATCCATGATTTAAAAATATAGAAATCCATAAGAATCAGGATCCAAGGCCTGGTCGTATTTATTTTGGGTAGGGGGTGCAAAGGTTTGTTTTAGAGAAATATTTTTTTAACCCTTTTTCAAATTAAAATAATCTGCAAGTTTCAAAATGTCACCAAAATTGTTAAAGTAATTAGAGATGGGAGATCTTAACCAGAACGTTGTTCAGAGCTGACCAAAATAGCTCCCAATAATGAGAATATTTTTTATTAAAGAAATACATGTCCAGAGTTTAGATACAACTGCAGAAAGATGAAATATTTGTTAATGTTTTTTAAAAAAATTACTTTTGTTTCACATAGTATAAATTACAATATTACTTACCTCAAAATAGAACCCCAACACTTTAAATAGCGTATAATATAAAAATGCATATTCTGATACTAGAAAACATGTTCGTGATTTCAAAGAAATTTTTGGGTCATCATTTTGAAGGAGTTACACGTTGGTTTTTTTACCTTTTTGATTTCCCTATTGCTTTCACCTTAAACATTTCTGAACATCAGTAATTTGAGGTATGTGGGCAAATATAATTGCCTTAAGTAGGTCATGTGGGTTTTAAGGATCAATAGAAATCAAGAAATAATCAAGGCTACCAAAAGAGCATGCAGTGTGGTTACATATAAGGACAGCTATTTTCTGTTATTAAAAACTTTTCAGGAAAATAACGAACTACATATAACCTTTTACACATATTACTAACATATTTTATTCATCTCCCTTTAAAAGTTCTATAAGATCCTTTATATCCTATTAATTCTCTTTATCATCACAACATTAAGTACCTACTTAAAAAATCAACATATTACGACAACAGAAATACCACTGTAGCTCAGTGGTATAGACTTTTGCTCAGTTCTAGCTCCTTGCTAGCTAAATCTTCCCTAACTGACATATTTGTTTTGAGAAATAAATGAACTGTTCTAATAGCAAGAAGAAACACTGGAAGAACGGTAACAATACTGAGGGAAGCATCTTAAAACTAAAACTCTGTCATCAGTCAGTACTTTTTAACTCATGAACGATCTCATGTCTTAAAAAAATACTGGTTTCATATACTGGATGGCTTCTGTTATTGTTCCAGGGTTTTAAATTTATGCTGCTCAAAGCCTGTATTTATCACAATAGAATTAGTTTCATGCTTGACATTTTAAATGCCAGGCATGAAAGTATAAATAATATAGATTAATATATACCTTATGTTCATCTGAACTTCAAACACACATAGTCAAGTCAAAAGTGCTCACAGTGGAGCTCTTTATCCATCACAACATAGTGTAATTCACTCTGCTGATTCACTTTGAACCTCACGAGCTTTGTTTGTAAGGTATGATCTCCAAAACATGACGCTACAAAAATTGAATAGTGGTTCTGTATGAGTTTCCAAGACACAGTGGTGTACAAAATGCAGTCATACTTTCTCATACTGAATATATATTCTTTGACGTAATAGGCAAAATTCACCTTCTTGATAAATATGACAGCCACATTTTACATCACCAGTTCAGGATCAGGTACATGAAGATAATCTTTGCCTCAATTGCAAATTCTATTTTATCATCAGTAAGACCCTTCTCCTCATCCCTCCAAAACACAGAAACAAAACCAGACCTTGAAACAACTCCATGCAAATCTATCCTTCCACTTGCCCTACAACTCTCTAAAGGAGTGATTACACAGTCAAAAAAACACACCAAAACCAAAAAGCAAACAAATAACAACAAAAATCAGAAAAAAACCCCAAAACCAAAACTACAATCAAAACTGTTATGGAGAAACTTTCACCCCAAAATGAAAGGAGCTGGAGATTTTATGGAGTTTGTTAGGGCTGTGCTCTATTTCATGTGGATGACTATGAGATCCCCTATAAAGAAAGCAATCCAGGGAGATAGAAAGTGAAGGTATATTTAGAGTTGCCATCTCCTGACCTTCAAAACCCAGAATTCAGATTTGGTAACTCGTGTCTTTTGCATGGGCAAAGTCTGGGCACCTGCTGGATTCTCCACCTTGTCATCAAGAAGGGTTGTCCTTCACTCCTTTCTTCTCAGGTTTGAAACTACTGGGAGCTGGGAAAGGGAAGTTCCTGTATTTCATAAAAGAAAAGCGTTTCCAGCTGGCCTGATGAGGGACATTTTTTTTCGTGACAACACACCTGTGAGCTGAAAATCATTAGAAAAAAATTTAAAGCTCTAACCAAAAGTACGAAAAAGGAAGGTAATTTTGAAATGGGAAAAAAAAATCTAGATAGAAAAGTTAATTGGTAGATATGTATCAGACCAGCATTTGCTCTCACAGTCCCACATCTGGTAGCTTTCACCACCAATAACTTCTTTTCTCCCCACAACATTTCAAACAATGCAATGTATTTACTCAATACTTCCCTGTATGTTCAATGAGAAAAAATGGACATTACAAATTCACCTACCTCCAGGGACTTTATACCAATAAGGATCAATCTAATTCCAATGCCAAAAGATGTGGGTAATGGCAAGAACAACAGGTTGTGGCTTTTTTTCAAAAATTTTTTTAATTTAATTTTATTTTTTTCTAATTTGGAACAAAATACAGGTATGTCCTATACATCTGGTGTTTGTTCTATGTTATCCTTGTGAGTTTCAGTGAGTGTCCATGGTGTCTGAGTGCCAGTGAATGAATCCCTGGTGCATTACAGCATCCTGCTACCTTGCCTGTGTTCTGTGGTCTTCTAAGGTAAACAGCTAGAAAACCTGTATG